TTCAAACCCACCAGCCACTCCTCGTAAGGAAGGTTGGGCAATCTACTTCTGTAGTGATACTGCCTCAGAAACCCAAGGAGGAGTCGCTATGAGTATGGTCTGATTCGATGGCAAGTAACAACAACAAGGCATTTGACTGCTAACCAGAAGGCTGGCTGTTCAAACTCACCAGCCACTCCTCAGAAGGAGGACTGGGCAATCTACTTCTATAGACATACTGCCTTGGAAACCCAAGGAGGGGTTTCTATGATCAAATTGACATGACGGGAGTGAGTTTGGTTTTGGTTTATGTCTCAATATTCCTATGTAATGAATACACCATGGCCTGCTAGACACAAATCTGTCTTGGAAGAAGTAAGCCAGAATGCTCTTGATAAGCGAGGAAGGAGAGAATTCATCTCACATACTTTGGTCACGTTATTAATTAGGAGGGACTAGTTCCTGGAGAAGGACATCATGTTTGATAAAGAAGAGAGTCAGTGAAAAAGAGGAAGACCCTCAACAAGATGGACTGAAACAGTGGCTACCGCAATGAACTAAAACACAGCAGTGATTGTGTGGATGACACAGGATCAGGCAGTGTTTTGTCCTGTTGTACAGAGGGCCGCTGTGAGCTGGAATCACCTCAATGGCACCTAACAAAACATAACATATCCTATGCAAAATTAAATTCTTCAATTTTCAAATTAAATATCATTATGCCATAATGCTTACAATTTTAACTGAATTATTAATCCTCCAATGCTTTTGACTTCCTAATCAAATAAAAATGCTTTGCTCAAGGAAAAGGACAAGGTCTAGACTTACTTCTTACAATTTGTTCTGTATTTAGAGCACTGAACCTTTTATTACAAAACTTATTTATGGTAATTTTTTAAAGCTAAGGTACATTAAAAGCCCATTATGCAAGTTTTGAATTTTGTGGCATACTTTTAAATTGTAATTCAACTTTAAGGGAGATGTTTCTATGCAGCAATTAGGCTAAAGATTGATGAAAGAAATTTATTAGCCCCAAAAGACACTGAGCTGTCTTTCAATCATAATATCTTCATTAGAACCTGTGTGTTATCATACAGATAAAACACATACACACACTTGTATGTGCACCATCTTATTTGGTATTTACAACAACCCTTTGAACATTACAATCTCAGTTTTATTTTGAGAATACAGAAGTGCAGAGTGGAAATATTATTTTCTCCAAACTTCACAATGTTTATAGTGCATGGTGTGGCATAAAAATCTATGTTTGCTGAACCTAGTTTAAACTCTGTTGTGGTTACCTAGTGCTGCTCTGACAAGAAATGTATACCATAAATGGGATGGCCTTAACAAAAAGGAGTTTATTCTTATAATTTGGAGGCTTTAAGTCCAAGTTCAAAGTGCCAGGCTCTAGGTGAAAGCCCCTCAACCTTGGGGTCCAGCTCTGCCTCCTGCTCCTGGCCCACTGGAGCTAGAGGCGCTTCTTCACTCACACAGCTGCTGGCTGCTGAGGCTGACAAGCCCCAGGGTTGACAAGTAAAAAGGCACAGTCACGATGTTACCAAACCACACGGCAGGCCATTAACTTAAGTCCATTGTAAATCGCAAGGTCGGCAAAGCATAGCAGGCTGCTCAGCAATGACACGGGTACATGCAGGGTCCAAGCCTGCCATAAGCTAGAGACCATTCCCAAGGTTTCTCCTTATATACAGGAAGCACACCACATCCCAAAGGCAGCTACTCAGCTGCTTGTGGTAGATCCCACCATGGAGTGGATTGCCAGTCTCATCATGGGGAATAACTATCACCAGCTGCCCAGCCACTCAACCAGGCCCAGCCAAGTTGGCACACAAATGTAACTACCACAAACTCTATCTACTTCCTTTGGTCTTAGTATCCTTAGGCTATTGTCTAGTCTCACTTAACACTATCATATTGATAATTCATATTCCTTTGAGGCAAGAACTCAAGAAAAAAAAGTGGGATAATCTACTGCAGACATTTTATTTCAGTTAAGGAATAACTCCTAACAGTTGAACTTTGTTTTCTGAGGACCTATGCTCTTCTTTCTACTGATACTCCGTGCTTGTGCTCTCATCTCAAAATCCTCCATGGGACAAAGAGTACAACATTAGACATTAAAACATTTCTATAAATTTGAGCCAACAAATTGCCTCCCTCAGGATAAATTCTCCCTGGGTATTTTGACTCAATGCCAAAGTTCCCAAGTGGCTGCCCACACCATATCCAGCCCTTAGTCAAAGCTGCTTTGGACTGCACATGCTAATAAAATTGGGAAACAACGTTGAAAAATCTAGGGATTTTCTACAGAGTTCCCAATTTCCTTCTCTTAAAAAAGTAAAAGACTTGACAACATTGATTGGAGCTATGTAGCTTTCCTCTTAAGAAGGACGTGTGGCTTCAAGTTGGCCAAGTCCTCCCACCACCAATGATGAAATGTTGCTGACACGTAGTCCATTTCACTGTTTGCCTAGAGAAGCTCATCTAGGAAGACATTTAAAACCACATCTATCCTTATCTCTGAGGTCCATAAACAAATCGAAACATCCTAAGATGCATTAAAACAAACTATATAACACAGTTTATGGGATACAACAAAGCCGACAGGGATGACAATTTATCACCTTAAACTGATTTCCTGCAGAATTAATTTAAAAGGAATAAAGTAAGTTATGCAGTCAAACAGGATGTTCAAAAGATAATCACATTATCAATTTAAGAAAAGGAAAAAAACCAAAACCCACTTCCACTGAGTCAATTCTGATTCATAGTGACCCTTTAGGACAGCGCACAGCTGCCCCACAGGGTTTCCAAGGCTGTACATTTTTATAGAAGCATATTGCCTCATCTTTGTCCTGCAGAGTGGCTGGTGTGCTTGAGCTACTGACCTTTTGGATACCAGTTGACTACTTTAACCACTATGCCACTAGAGCTTCTTGAGGGAAAAAAAGGTATTATAAATGTAAAAGCAGAAATGTAATAATAATGTATTAAAAAATAGAAAAAAATAAAGATTATAAAAAAATCCCTACAATATACTTTGTTGTGAGAAGTTTAGTTGAAGGCAAAAGAGGGGGAAGAGAAACCACATTGAAAACACAAGAAGATATACATGACTCTAACTGTACATATGGCAGAAATTTCTTTTTAAAGAGGCAGCATATTCTAATGAAACAATACTGGAAATTCCAATGGTATGAATAATATTGATCTAAATTAGGAGAACTGCATTATGAAGAATGAAATAATTCAAATACATTCATGGCACATAACGAAATGGACATAAATTTCCAAAACCAACTTTAGAAACTTGCTAGATCAGACTGGAATTATTGTAATTTCAAACTCATAATAATCCCCATGAAATTTATCTCTACCACAGAACCAGAAAAAACAACTTAAACCAGCAAAATGTTTGTGATACTAACCCCTAACAAAGGTAGCAGAAAAAGAAAATCATACAGCAATTTCAATTATAAGTATCCATATAAAGTTATATTAATTTGTATTTAATTGTAAATATAAATTATATCCAGCACAATAGAGAAATGATGTATTCTTCCACCAGAGGACTCATTCTATGATGTAAACTCTGTTCCTCTGTGTTAAACTCATTGATGGTTCTCTGCTGCCTTTAAGACAGACACCATCATCATTGGTCCCTGCTTAGTTCCAGTATTCTAGACTCTCAGATTGTATGCCTTTTTTTTTTTTTTTCTGGGAACTCACATAATTGCTCTTGCCTCAGGACTTTTGCACATATTGTTCAGAACTCTCTTCTACCAAGTTCTCTTATTAACTTGTACTCATCCTTCAGAAAATCTTTTGGCTCCAAGTCCACAAAAGGTGCTCTCACCAAGTATCTTCTTAGCACCCTTAATTTCTCTCATCCTACTATCCATCAAACTGCATTTTTATGACCTATTTGCTTGTAAAATATCACAGATTGTGAGAAGTATGACTCTCATATTTGTGCCTATAACAATTAACCCAGGGGCACCTAATGCAAGTTTAGATGGTCAGATTCTGTCTTAGATTGTAAAGAAAACTGGACACTGAGTCCTGGAGGTCATACAGAGCTGGAGCTGGAGAGCACCTTCCATCATGTGCATAGAGAATCAGAAAGGGCAGGCTGCAGAGAGTGGGCCCACGGAAGAGTGTAGGAAGTGGACCCATGGAAGTTGAGACTGCACAGTCCTGGAGAGATACAGAGTAACCCTCCCGCCTTGTAGAAGTGTCTAGTTGCAATTCCAGTCTTTGATTTGCATGCATGTTCTTTTCTGGAAAAACATGCAATTTTACTTATAAAGCTTGAAATGTGATTTTTTTTTCCCCTCTGGGTAACCAAATAATGCTTAACTAAACACAAGAAAACCAACCAGAAAACTACTGAAATTCTCCAGCCGTGAATTGATAGGAGCTTGGATCAGGGGAAATGGGTATTAAAAAAAAGAAAAAGCTAGTACTTTGGTGATAGATTATATATATGGGGACGGTTTAGAATGAAGGACCATGAAGGACTTGAATGTTTCTGCTTAGTAAGATGAATTTTGGATGTCCATCTAAAAAGGGAGCTCTGGTGGAATAGTGCCTAAGGCATCTGACTGCTAACCAGAAGGCTGTCAGTACAAAACTCCAAGCCACTCCTCAGAAGGAAGACTGGGCAATCTACTTCCATAGATATCACCTTGGAAACCCAAAGAGGGTTCACTATGAGATGGAATTGACTCAAATTGACTTGATGGTAATGACAGAGACATTAAAAAAAAAAAAAAAAAAAAAAATTCACTGCCATCAAGTCGATTCTGACCCACAGTGACCCCCTTTGGGTTTCCGAGGCAGTAAATCTTTACAGAAGTAGATTTCCCAGTCTTCCTTCCACAGAGGAGTGGCTGGTGGGTTTGAACTGCCAACCTTCTGGTTAGTGCTTTAGGCAGCACACCACCACAGCACCTATTCCAATGATTATAAGAATAGGTAAATTGAAATATGAGGGGTCAGCACTGAAGATATAAAAATCATGCACAGAGAACTTAAACTTTGAGGTTAAATAAAGAAAATGAAGCCTACACAAGAAGCCAAGGCAAGAGCCTTAGGGGTATCTACAGTATGAACCAAAGAATACAGGGACCAGCAAGGAAATAGAAGAAAGGAAACAGAGAAGTTAAAACAGAAAAAGGAAAGGAAATGTCATAAAACCAGGAAAAGCCAGGAATCAACTGGTTCTGATAAACCAAGTCAAGATGGCTAAGGAGTGAGACAGGGAACATTAGTTAAGTACTTATTCCACTATCATTTGCTGAGCAATTACTATATGCCAGGCACTGTTCTGACAATGGAGGCAGAATGAGAAATAAAACAAAATCCCTTGTCTCAGGAAGTTTACGTACAGGTGGAGCTAGGCAGGCAATAAACAAGTACAAAGGTGTCATGGTGAAAATAAAACAGGTAACACTGAAGAGAGACTACTTTTGAATTTTCTGTAGTAAGTCAGGTGGAGTAGGTCAGGGAATGCCTCTCTGAGGAAGTGACGGCTAAGGTCAAAGATCAAGGGCAAAATAACATTTCAAGTAAAGGAAACAGCTCATGCAATCTGATAAGGTGAAAATGAACTTTGTGTGTATGAATCACAGAAGCAAGTCCAAGTACCCAGAGCACAGGAGTGAACTGGGAGGTGCAGGTATAACATAACATGTTTGTAGGCCAGGGACAAGAATCGGGATTTTATTTAAGTATACTGGGAACTCACTGGACAATTTTAAGCTGGAAGTAGGGCTGACTTTATCTATAGTTTAAAAAGCTAACTACCAAATATTTGGAGGATGAATTGGTAGGACAGGAAGAAGGAAACGTGGAGGCCATGGCAGTAATCCAGAGAGGAGTTAAGGCCAATTTGGACCAAAGTGTTAAAAATGGAGATGGGGAGATGATTTGGGAAATATTTTGGAGGAGGCAACAAGAATGTGATGGAGGATGGAATGGGGTAGAGAGAGGACAGGAAAATATAGACAGGAACCAAGAATTATTAGTTGCCTAATGGTAGTATTTACTAAATTGGAGGGGGATGAAGTGAAGAATGGCATTCAGTGGAGGGGGAGAAAAAAAAATCTACATATTGTATTAAATGTTAAGAGTGAAGTGATCCTTTGAGTTGGATACCACTCACAGCAACTCCTCCTTGGTTTTGTGAGGCGGTATGACTATGGAAATAGATTGCCTAAACTTCCCTCCAAGGAGTAGCTGGGGGGTTTGAACCACCAGCCTTCTGGTTATCAGTCAAATGCCTTAGGCACTAAACTACCAGAGCTCCCTATTAAATGCTAGCATTGCAATATTTAAGTAGAGCTGTCACAAAGGGAGTTGGGCATATGGGTAGGAAGTTTGAGAGACAGGTCACATTGAGATGTAGGAATTTGGAAGTCATAGTGTTTAAGACCTGAGGCTGGAAGAAATCACTTAATGAGAGAGTGTAGCCAGTGAAGGAAGGGTGAGAGCTAGGCTTGAATCTGGCATCTCTGCATTTATTCAGTGAGAGAGAAAGGAACCAAGAAATAAGACTTGCCTAACATTAGGTTGGAGCCCTGGTGGTACAATGGTTAAGCACTCAGTCGATAAACAAAAGGTCAGAGGTTGAAACCTACTAGTCACTCTGTAGGAGAAAGATGTGGCAGTTAGCTCCCATAAAGATCACAGCATTGGAAACTCTATGGGGCAGTTTTACTCTGTTCTACAGGGTCGTGATGAGTTGGAATCAACTTTATGGCAGTGGGTAACATTAGGTTGGTTAAGCAAGAAGGAAACCACTTTGAAACAACAGTTGCTGTAAAATGTCACAGTAAAATATATGGAAAAGGAGTTCATAAAAGATGCAGAGCTACTACAAGTAATATACATGTTCTACAAGTTTGAGTGGAAAATGAAGAAAAATTCTTGGGCAGCAGCATAGCTCTGCTTCAGAAGTTTGTTGTGAATATTAAAGGGGATAAAACATAGAAGTTCCATAGAACTGCACTTGGTTCATAAAAAGAAGTTAATTCAAAGGAGCTCTCATGGTATAGTGGTTAAGACATTTGACTGCTAACCAAAAGGTTGGTGGTTCAAACCCACCAGCCACTCTGTAGTAGAAAGATGAGACAGTCTGCTTCTGTAAAAGATTTATAGCCTTGGAAACCCGTGGGGTCACTATGAGCTGGAACTCATAGTGTTGACAGCAACAAGTTTGGTTTTTGGTAAGGAAAGTTGTAGGCCTGAGCAAGGTTCTATCAATTGAAATCCATTTCTGTTGAGTCGATTCTGACTGTGATCCTACAGGGCAGAGTAGAACTGAACCACAGGGTTTCTAAGGATATCTTTATGGATGCAGACTGCTTCATCTTTCTACCATGGAGTGGCTGGTAGTTTCAAACTGCCAACCTTTTGGTTAGTAGCTGAGCACTTAACCACTGTACCAACAGGGCTCCTTTCTATCATGAGAGTTCATTCAACTTTTTAGTTAAATATGCAGCAAAAAGGTATGGAGATATTGAAGAAGCTAGAGAAAACTGCAGATGTCTGAGGTAAGTAGGAATAATATTCAGAGGTGGTAGAAAGCTTTCACTGGTAAAGGGAAGATAATTTTCTTGAGCTGGTAAAGACTCATAAAAGCAATACTACACTGAGGTAAATAGATGGGTGTATGTGGGAGCCTAAGGGGCTCTGGTGGCGTAGTGCCTAAGGCACTAGACTGCTAACCAGAAGGCTGGCAGTTTAAATATTCAGCCACTCCTCAGAAGGAAGGTTGGGCAATCTACTTCCATAGTGATACTGCCTTGGAAACCCTAGGAGGGGTTGCTGTGAATTGGATCCGACTCCATAGCAGTGAGTTTGGTTTTGTTATTTTGGATGTGGGACCCTATCAGGGAAGACTGCAATCTTCTTCATCAAAAGAAGAACTAAGCTCACTGGCCTTGAGTAAATGCATTAAGAGTGTGAGGAGAGCAGATTTAAGGAGAAGATGTGCATTCAAATAATTATCATCTGGAATATGGTAAGGAGTCAGCCAGGGGTTTGACTTTTGAAACAACTTCATCTTTATTTGTTCAACAGACAGCATCTTATTTTCACATCATGTTTTTTGGAATGAGAAAGTTATATGCTAAGGCTAAAGAGGAAATGAGGCTAGGAATATGAAGCACATTACAGAGTAAAATACAACAGATCAACAGTAATAAAATCTGATATGCAGACTCTCTAATATACTAATTCATACTAATGTTACTAATTCATACAAATATTACTAATTAATTACCTTCTGCTTTTGTGTAGATGGCAACAGTCCCATTGACAAGGCCAACATATAGCTTCTGAGATGTACAGGCCAAACTCATGACTGTAGATTTTTCAGGAGTGAAAAAGTGTTGAAGTCTCACTTTCTTCGAGCCTTGACTGCTTTTATAAATGGAAATGCTTTAAGACAAAAACATAAACTAATAAATATATTTGCTCATAATGCAAAGAACTAGGGTATTCTTCACATTTATTTATTTCATCTTAATTCCTCCTTATATTTTAAAAACTGTTAATACTTTGATTTCATTCTTTTACTTTAAAAGAGAAATTAAAAAAAAATTAGTTCTATTTACCCTAGGGCCTCACATCAGGAAAATAATTTTAATTTTCCTTTAAATTATATCAATGTTTAATATGAGTATAAAGTAGTATGTAGTTTTATTTTATTCTGAAACATAAGTCCTTTTAAAAGCAGTATTAGAAATGGACATTAAAGCAAGAAATATTATGGTATTTTCCATAATATTATTTCCATTTTAAAGAATTACCATTTCTGTTTGGGAATTTCCTAGAATAATTTCCATGGACCCGATTCACTATTTCAAAGTGTATTTGCCCTAAAAATTTCCACATGTATCCCATGATTCCTAAACATACGTTTCCTAATATCAGATTAAACTACTTTCCATTATAAGCTCCTCATTATTTTACTTCTAACAGAAAACAGCTGATGATAATTATTTGTAACACAAAGAACTGGAATGCTACCTTCCTTCTTCTGTCCCTAAACAAATAGTTGGAACATCTGAAGCTCGCACAACTCCAATTTCAGAATCAGAGGCTGCATTTGGCTCTTTAAGCTTCTCTTCCACTGGAATGTAGACCATACAAAGGATGCGAGATTCCACATTGAAGCATTCAATAACTTTGGGGTTGGAATTTTGAAATGAGACAATAGCAATTTGACCCATTTGATTGGTACAACTTCCAATCTGAATCAGGGAGTTAAGAGGAGGGGAAAAAAAAGAGAAAGTAAAGATCCTGTACAATCATCCTTTCTCAATATACTGAAACCTAAGATTCAGAGTCAATGACAAGAATCTACTTCCATATGAGAACAAACAATCTTTAAGAAATCAAATAATGTTTAAACAATTGGTCAACAGTGCCCTTTTTTTTTTCCAACGTATTTAACAAGGTTATTTTTTCTTTTGATTGTAATAATAAGTATAGTTTTAATTTTAAGAAAATCACAATATGCTTTAAAAAATCACATACCTATCATTACATGATGGGAAAGGTCTATCCACACACAGCTTAAAGTCTTAAAGAAGTAGATTACTAGCAGTTATACAGGAGCTCTGGTAGCATAGTGCCTAGGGCACTTGACTGCTAACCAGAAGACTGGCTGTTCAAACCCACCAGCCACTCTTCGGAAGGAAGGTTGGACAATCCTACTTCTGTAGTGATACAGCCTTGGAAACCCAAGGAGGGGTCGCTATGAGTCGGGGCTGACTCGACGGCACATAACAGTACCAGTTATACATAATTTAACACTAATATTTAACAGACTTTATCTGTTGATATAAGAAAATGAATCTTTAAAAAGAGAAAAATAATAAAAATGCACTCAAAAGTGAATTATTAGCATTTAACATATAATATCTACCATTTCATACCATATGAATTATGGGAAGATATCAAGAACATTATCCATGAAGAAAGCAAGAGATCACTAAAAAGACAAGAAAAGAAGAGAAGACCAAAGTGGATGA